ATTTCATCTTCACTTCCCTAGTACTAGAAATACAAGTTATGTAAATAATTTTTTTCCTTTCTTTTTTTTTTTTTCAGTACTGGGGATTAAACTCAGGGCTTCACATATAGGAGGCAACCATTTTAACACTTAACATGTGGGACTTTTTATTTTTCATTTCAGTCAGGGTCTCTCTAAATTGCTTAGGATGTCCTCAAATTTATAATCCTCCTTCCTTAATCTCCAGAGTTGCTGGAATTACAGGGTGTGCCACCATGACTGGTGAGTTATATAAATAATTCTAATCCATTTAATGTATTTTTTTCAAATTTGATTCTCATCAAAAGACTTTGTCATGGTATTTCCAATGACTGCGAATATAAAGCTGGGTGGATATAATTAGAAATGTGTTATCACAATGTTGACTTTGTTAAGCATTGTTCATGTACATGAAAACGGTGAAACTTCCTCAATAAATAAAGAGATATCCTTTCTGTACATATGCATTTGTGAAAGATAAAATTGAGATCTCAGCTCTTTGGATCACTGCATACATGGTAGTAACCCATTGCAGTTTTTTGTGTTTTTTAAAACATATTTTTACAAGCATAAACACATGTTCATTTATTTTTTAGCTGTAGTTGGGCACAATATCTTTATTTTTATTATTTATTTATTTATTTACTTCTTTATCAAAAAGTATTTTTCATGTGGTGCTGAGGTTCAAACCCAGGGCCTCACACGTGCTAGGCAAGCACTCTACTGCTGAGCCACAACCCCAGCGCCCCCATTGCAGTTTTTGATGGATCTCATCAAAAGACTTTGTCATGGTATTTCCAATGACTGCAGATATAAAGCTGGGTGGATACAATTAGAAATCATAGTGATACATGTTAATACATTTGGTTTTTGACATATTTTTTATGAATACATTTTGTCTCTTCATAACCATTATATACATGTGTGATTCTTATGATGAACCTGTGTTTATGCTTGTAAAAATATGTACGTTATTGGGCTGGGATTGTAGCTCAGTGGTAAAGCTCCTGCCTGCACATGAGACACTGGATTTGATCCTCAGCACCACATAAAAATAAATAAATAAAATAAAGGTATGGTGTCCGTCTACAACTAAAAAATATTTTTAAAGAAATATGTTATTAATGTCTATTGGGGTGGTCTATAAAGTGTTCTGTTTATGTTTTTCAAATAAATCCATTTAAAATGTAAATTAATATCTTTAAAATATTTTTTTTCTTTTGGTACCGGGGGTTGAACCCAGGGACACTTTATCACTAAGCTATTTCCCCAGTCCTTTTTTATTTTATTTATTTATTTATTTTTGAGACAGTGTCTTGCTAAGTTGCTGAGGATCTTACTAAGTTGCCAAGGCTGGCCTTAAACTTGTGATTCTCCTGCCTCAGCCTCCCAAGTCACTGTACCCAGCATTAAAAGAATTCTTTAAAAATATTTTTTTTCATGGCTGGAGATATAGCTCAATGGTAGAATGCTTGCCTAAGACCCTGGGATAAAACCCAGTACCACACAAAAATATTTTTCCATAATTATGTTTTGGGGATTTTTTTATATTTTTGGGCAATATTTGGGATTATGGCATTTGGAGTTTTGTCTTTCCAGATTATGTAAAAACTTTGAGCATGCTACCTAGTAACGTCAACTGATACTACTACTTGGAAAGATGGTGCATATTTAGGCTATGTTGTTTTGTTATATTATTCAGAGATAACTTTATGAGGCATTAATTGTTTGCATCCACACCTTGTCATTTGGTAATGAATTACAGGGAAGGGACATGTACTGGTTTTCACGTAGGACTATGCACTGACTCTGGAGTAGAACCATCATAAAATATAGGAAACTAAACTCAAGAGAGGCTGACCCATAAGATGTCTGCTGCACCCAGCATTGTGCTTGGCACAAGTCAGAAAGTATTGGCAGTTGGGTGCAGCGATGCATGCTTATAATCCCAGTGACTTGGGAGGTGGAGGCAGGAAGATATTGCAAGTTCGAAGCCAGCCTCAGCAACTTAGTGAGGCCCTGAACAACTTAGTGAGACCCTGTTTCAAAATAAAAAAATAAAAAGGACTGAGGATGTGGCTCAGTAGTAAACACTCAATCCCCTGACTTCAGTCCCTATACCAAAAAAAAAAAAGCAAATGCATTTATGCATGAAGAGAGCTCACTGAGCATGTTAAAAATACTCTGCTCTGATGTTGATCCATAATGGTGGGGGGCAGGCAAGGGAATAATGGAGGAAATTTGGATTGGCAGAGGGGAGTGAGGGGGTAAATAGGGTGTTGGGGGAGATGGTGGAATGAAAGACATTATTACCCTATGTACAGGTATGATTGCACAAATGGTGTGATGCTCCATCATGTACAACCCAAGAAATGAAAAGTTGTTCTCTGTTTGTATAAAAAATAAAATTGAAAACAAAACACCATATTCTAAAAACATCCATTGATAGATATGTTAATCAACCCTCTTAGGATTGCAAGTGACTGAAACCCATTCAAACCAGCTCTAAACCAAGAAATTAAAATATAATTTGAACATTTAAAAATGGAGGGGGACTGGATGACTTGGAAACTGACAAGTCCAGAAATCTACTTCAGGCACATTGGGATCCAGGGACAGAGATGTACATGATGATCTTCTCTTTCGGCTTTACACCCAGATGTCTCTCACCAGGTTTCCATCTTCAGTACACCAACAGTTCCAGAGGAAAGGAAGCCTCCCTTTTCACAGTTTCAGCTCAGGTCTTAGATTGACTCTGAGCTGCCCACCCAGACACGAGACCATTCATTTCCAATCAGCACAACTCCAAGGCCTGGGAGTAGGGGAGGGATCATTTCCCAAAGGAAAAATGAAGCTTTTCTCAGCAGAAGGGTGAGATTGTTTGCTGGGCAGGCTCAACCCACTGCTGCCCACTGGACTGATAATCAGCAAAGGAGTCAGGACTAGGTGAGGGAAACATGCCATATGGAGACACTTGGGATAGAAAACCAAGCAGTGCTGGTTCCAGGCAGGATCAGGACCATGTGGAGCTTTAAGGAGCATGGGATCTGCACCAGTGTCCAGCCGAAAGGCCATGTAGTAGATTGATTGCAAAAATGGTCCACCTGAATCCCACACCCTGTGCAGTGTGGTTTTTGCAACATCTCCCATTTAGAGTGGAATCTGGGTTGGAGATTTAGCTCAGCAGTATAGCACTTACCTGGCTGGCATGCACAAAGTCCCAGGATCCATCCCCAGCACTGGGAAAAAAAACTGGAGCCAATTTCAAAATAAAATAAAATAATAAAATTTGTGCTTCCCTTGTCATTGGTATTGATAACAGAATGTGATGGAAAAGATATTGTGCTATATGTGAACCTAAACCTCGAGAGATCCTTTGTGCCTTTGCTTCTTTGTTCTTTTGTTCCCCTGCCTCCCTCTTGTAAATGATCCTGGCTATTTGGGAGCAGGATGAGAGACCACATGAGATTGTCCCAGGTTTCTCAGCCAACACCCCAGACACGGGAGATAACCCTGCATGATTAGCAAAGCTGCTTAACTGATTCACACTGACCACAGATGCATGAGAGCATCCTCAGAGCCCAGCTCAGATCAGAACTTCCAGTGATCCCATACACTCTTGAGCAGTAAGTGGTTGTCATTTTAAACCACAGATTTTGGGGACAGTTTGTTACACAGCATTATTGAGGCAAACAGGTAAGAGATACAAGGTATGTTAGGGGAAATCTAACTAGTGGTTGGTTTGCCAAACCATGCAATCCAGGGGCTGGATCTTCTGGAGTAAGTAACTGTTTCAAACTTTCAGTAAACTACTAGAGAAGCTAGTTTGGCCTGGAGTTCCAGTCTATCATCTCTACACATCACACACAGGGACTTTAACTGACCTGACATATTTCCCAGAGACACAAGCACTGAGATTTGTGGAATCTATTCAGCTTGAGCTGCTGGGGATAAGTGTACCCCACTAGCCAAATTCCTGCTTGAAGTACACGTTTTGGTTTAAACATTTTTATATGATGGTGGTGAATGGGAACAAAGAAGGAATGTAAATGGGCCTTAAAGAGGAAAGTTGTGGAAGACTGGGAAGAACCAAATGGGTCCCAAATTCTGCCCATGAGCAGCATTAACCATTTGCTGTAGTGTAAGAAAAAAAAAATCCAAGAGACAAGTTAAAAGCCCATTTCAGACTTCTCTGGAAGAACCGGTCACAGAAGAGGGAACAGGCAAAGCTGCCTGTCGCAGGGATCTACCAATCAGCATGGAAAACTAGTTGATATCCTTCCCTGCTCACAGCTCCACCTGCTCCAGGCATCCAGGTAACTCCCTTCTCTCTCCCCAGACATATATAAAGTGGCCTCCTGGATCCCACACATGTCCCAGATTGTGTCATCTGCTCCCAAACCTGCCCTGATTCACATGACCTGTTCCAGGAAACATCAGCACCCATCCCAGTGAGAAACATGGCAATCAGCCACCAAATCCCACTCACCCACCACTTCAACATCTCCCTGTTCTCCTGCCCTGACTCTGAAGATTCCCAGCCCACTCCCAACCTCCCTGCTAAGAATCTGGCCACCTCTGCAGTGGACTTGACTTTATCCACTGGTTCTAAACCTCAATTCTGCAGTCTAACATAACAGGTCTTCCTCTTCCAAGCCTTCCCTGTATCTCCCTGGCTTCTCTCCTCTGGTCATCTCCTTCCAACTTCCCAGACCTGGCTTGCCCCGTGTCTCCAGGGCCTAGGTGCTTTGGACTCTTCATCCTGCCTGCCCACCTGCCTTGCCCAGAGCAAGCTGCCTTCTGATGCTGGCATGAGTGTGCTCCAGGTCACCTGTCTCCTCACCAGGACCCATTCGAGCAGGCTCAAGAAGAGGTTCACAATCTCCTGCCAGCTGGCGCACTCCTCACAGCCCCAGACACTGCCCCAGGTTGGTGACCACTTCACAATCCACCTGCAGGCTGATGTCCCAGGGTCTCACAGAAGTACTTTATTCTATTCAACAGGCCAGGAAGGGATGTGGGGAGGTGGGGTGACCACAAGAAGCCCATGGAGCACGGGACGAGGCCAGGCCACCCTGCCTATCCCCCCTGCCCCGAGAGTCCCAGCTGGCCTGCAGCGGGACACAGCAGGCAGGGAGGCCCGGACTGTTCTACGGTCTGCGGCTGAGGTAGCTGGAGACATGGGCATGCCCAGGCCCTTCCCTCAGGCAGCCACACTGTGCACTCACCAGCCTGAACCTCGGTGGCATGCAGGCTGCCTACCCTCTGGGGTGAAGCCTCCGGTGTCCTTTTCAGTGCTCAGGCCACAGAGAATGAGGTGTGGCTGCTGTCACCAGGCCAGGGGTGAAGCCATCCCAGAGCTGCGTGGGCCCTCCCCGGCCTGCAAGTCGCTGAGTGCTCGCTGGGAGACAGGAGAACAAGGGGTGAGGGTGGTCACTGGTCCCATGCCTTCCTCTTCCTTTTACCAACCCACACCACCAAGGCTGAGGTTGTGGCTTGCTCTTGTCCAGGAGTGGGGCATATAATTCCCTGGAACCCTTTTTCAGTAAGGCTTCAAGGAGGATGCCCCTAGATGACCTCTGGCCCCAACCTCCCCTAAGGGACCCTTTAGCCACTTTGGCTCACCTCGAACTTGCTCATGAATTCCGCAAAAATGCCGAAGAAGGCCTCAGAGGTGGTGGCTTTGGAATCCTCCCCAAAGAAGGCCAGTGCCTTGCTCAGTTCCTCCATGGCCTCTCGCTGCAGCCCATCCAGTGCCCGAAGTGCAGGCTGGGCGGTCTCCAGGAAGGACTAAGGGGCCTTCATTAAGGAAACAGCCAACCCTCTGGTGCCCTCCCATTTACCTTGCTGGGCAGTGACCCCAGACATCATCCTAGCTGCCCCACTCCCTTTCTGCCTGAGACCTTTGGAGGGACAGGCCCTGTATTAGCAGGGAATGTGCCCTGTTCTGGTCACTGACTATTAAGCTATTCTTGGAAACTGCCACAACTCCCAAGCCTTAGTCCTTCCTGGAGAGAGCCTTAGCCCTTCTTCCCTAGAGCTCTGCCTAGAGGAAGGCTTCTGCCCCAACCATCCAGTTTATAGTGGCTCCTTCTGTCACTAAGCCTTACACTTTTTTCTATACTATTTGGCACTATGTGAAACCATTCACAGGTTCATTCCCTGTGGTAATGCAGGCCTATGCCCTACATATACCTCAAGTGCTTAGGATAGCAACTGTGTTCTTGTAAAAGATTTAGCAGCTCAATTGCTACCACTTTCTAGCATTTAAGCTGCGCCAAGCTTTGTTCTAAGCCCTCTACACATTCTTGTTTAATCATCATAATACCTCTATGAAGTACATTATTACTATTTTATATGTGAAGACGTTTAAGTACAAAGAACTTTAGAAACTAGCCCAAGATCACACAATAAGCTCTATGCCTGAGCCAGAGATAGTTAGTGTCAGAACCAGGGTCAAAACCCATCTGCATCATAACCAGATAATGACCACATGGTCCACTTCTTACCTCTCCTTAAGAAGAAGTAAAGTAGGCCCAGAGAAGTAAGGGGCTTGCCTAAAGTCACACAGTGACTAACTGAGTCAGGATTTGAGCCTAAGCCTGTCTAATGCCTAGGGTTAAAGTCCCTCTGAAGAGGCTGCCCTTGAATGACCACCCAATCTCTCTGTGAAGACCTCTAAACCCATGGAAGCAGAGAGGACACCCCTGAATTGAGTGATATGAAGTGGACTGATCCCTACCTGAATTGCCTTAGTTTCCATATCTGCAAAAATCTGGGTGTTACATGGGTGAAAGGGAATGGGAATGAGAAGCATCTTACACAAACCACAGTATTTGCCTGAGAGGAAAGAGGGGATCGGTATCAAATTCCTACCTTGAGCTGGGGAGGAAGCTTAATGATAGAATGCTCAACTAGCATGTGTTAAGCTCCGGGTTTGATCTCCAGCATCAGGGAAAAAAAAAAAAAATCCTACCTGGACACACCCCCAGCAGGCTATGTGCTGGAGTCAAGGACACATGGCTGGTGCTTGCCAGGTGAGGGCCAACTGCCCCGGCTATAGGTACAGGCCCCAGAGCCCTCCTTCTTGTCTAGCTCTACCCTCAGCAAGAAAAACCTTGTTTTCTTTCCCCCCCTAAGGGGTGTTGGGACCATAGAAGGGGACAGGGAGAAGAGTCACATGCCCTTCCCCCAGTCCTCCCTGCTGGCCAGGCTCTATTGGAGGGTTTAGCGAAAATGTTCCCCTTTCCTAAAAAGCCTCCCCTTGTATCTTATGACTTATATCCGGGTTCCACTGCCTACAGAGAAACAAAGGGGAAGGCAACAGCTATGGGACAACCTACAGAGTTCTGGCCTCAGTTACTCAGATTTGTCATGAGTACTTGGATTCTACATGATCCAGGATGAAACCTCTTCCAGGATCCCTGGATGCACAACAACCTGAGCCCAGAATCTCTGCTGGGGTCTGCAGTGGCCACTGGAGCCACTGCTGGTTCTATCCAGCCACCCCATGGCCCAGCATGGTGCTGGTACAGGCTGCTCAGAGGATACCGCCATGACCACAGCAAACCTGTCCTCACTGGAGGGGGACATGGTCTGGCAGGCAGCCTGAATCTCACTGATGGTGCCATGGAGGTCAGCCAGGTCGCCAGTCAGGGCCCGTTGGTTCACTACAGGAATGAACAGAAGGCTCGTGGAGTCACATTTACAGCCCAGGACAGCACGTGTCTGCCTCCCCACCTATCTACCCAGCCTACCTTTGGCAGCCAGGGGCACGGTGGGCAGGTCCTGAGCAAAGCCCAGGAGTTCAGGGAAGTGCTGGCTCAGCGATTTGGCAAGGATGTGCAGGAAGGTGGACTTCCCATCCACTGTCTTGGTGGAGTTCAGCTGCAAGTGATCCCCAATATACATCCTCCTCAAAGACCATACCAATTTCTGGTCACACATGGCCCCAGCTTCTCCTGGACTGTGGCACCAATTCTTGGTCTTTGAACTCTCTTTCTGACTCACCTCACCCTCTCCTCTTTTCCAGTTTCGGAGGCTTGGCACCTTCCCCACCCCTAACCTCAACATCTGCTGCAGTCACATTCTGGCTTCTGTGCAGCCAGCATTTCCCCTGGGGTGGGGGAATGGCCCTCCTGGGTCATGCTGTTTTTCTCCTCCCCTCTGTCACAACTTGTATTAGGTTTGGCCAGGGAGCCTGGAGGGTAGAGAGAGCTAGTCAAATTACTGCTGACTGGCTCTTACCTCTGTCAGAAAGTTGATCTTGAAGCCTGTGGTCTTGTTGGTTTTGGGCTGTCCATCGTTGAGATAGTTGCCCATGGCCAAAACAAACTGTGGGGAGGAAGATGGGTAGATTGTGGTGCTCCCCTCACCACCCACCCACCCCCAGGCCCAGGTGTCAGGATGGGTCTCCAAGGATGGCATCTACGGGGAGCACAGTAGCTGGTTGGGGAACGAAGCATCCTGACCTCCAAAATCTTGGCGAGTTTCCGGCTGTTTTTAAGCTCAAGGGAAGCCTGTCGTAAGCATTGGAGGCTGCCTCGGATCTCCTCTGTCTTCTCCTGTAGGGTGGCCTGGAAGTGGAGGCTGCGCAGTCGAGTTTTATATTCAGGAACCGACAGCATCTGACGTAAATTCAGGGAGGGACTCACCCTTCGCTTTCCAGGGGGACCCACTGCCCGACAGAGACCTGGGTTGGGGGCTGGCTGCCTGGGCCAGCTATGCCCTTAAGAAAAGTAAGCATGACCCCTAGGGGACACTCTTATCCCATCTACCTTGGCCCTGGTTGGGCACTGGCCATTAAAGGCGTTAAACTGGTCTAAGCACGGCGGGGGAACCCAAGGGGCGCGGGACAGAACAGTCCCCGGTCACAGAGGGGAGCCTTGACCCAGGAGGCCTTGGCCTCAGGGGCGGAGGTCGCGGCCGAGGCACCTGAAGAATGAACTGATCGGGCTCGCTGAGGCGACCGGGCGCCTCACGGAAGGCCTGGTAGCGCTGCTCCTCGTCGGCATCGGGCGCGAACAGCAGCAGCTGCGCCAGATGCGCGGGCTCCAAGCGCCGGGGCTCCATGTTCATGAGCACCTGCCGCAGTTCGGCGGGACTCAGCTTCAGGTGAGCTAAGAGAATGGCTGTGGGCAGGACCGCAAGGGTGAGCCGGGGGCGTGACCAGGGCGGGGAGGGGCGGGGACAAGAACGGGGGGCGGGACCTACAATAGGCTCCGCAGCGGGTGCGCGGGGGCGGTCCCAGAGGACAGGCTGATTAAAGGGTTAGGGCGGGATCTTCAAGGAGAAGGACCAAGACCCTAGGTGGGGCCCGCAGGGGTGGGGCCAGGAGCTAAGCAAGGGTCTGCGGGCTGCAGAGTGGAGGATGTGGCTGGAAGCGGGACTAGAACTGGGAGCCGATTGCAGAGGGTGGGGCCAATACAGGATGAAGCCAAGGTTGGCACCAGCGATCAGATGGAATTCCCACCCCCCAGCTATAGGGCCTAGGAGGGGGGCCTTCAGTCGGCCTGGCGACAGGTGTCCTGGTCCCCATAGATAATTCCTGTTATCCCTCCAGCAGGGTCCAAGTCTCTATGGCCCAGAGAAAGGGCCACCAACAGCCCCAAGAATCCTTGGGGTTCTGTGGCCTCTCACAGGTGTTGTAGGCCTTCTTGTGAGACAGGATCTCCACCACCTCCTTCTTTCGGAAGGGCTCAGGCCCAGGCACTGGCTCTGGAAGAGAAATTGGACAGTTTAATGGAGAGGAGGAGATACACGGTGGGGTGGGGTCCTAGGCTGGGGCTGCCTTAGCTGGGCCTAGGGGAGGGGCAGCCACACTCAACTGCCCAGGGCCTCCCTCCTTCCAAGCACCACCTTGACTGGATCAGAGCCAGATGTCCGTATCGCCCTCATACCTCAGTCTCCCATTGAAGATCTGAATGCATTTAGTGTGTAAGGTGTGTTTATCCCCTCACTGTCATCTTCCCAAATGCCCTCTCTCCCTTGAGCCCTCTGGACCCAGCTAGCAGGACAATGAAAAGAAATGACCTCTGGAACTTTCAGATGATTCCTGAATGTACAAGTCAGTCTTTCTCCTTCGTCCTGTGACCACACACTGGGCTTCTTGGAGTCCCACCCAAACACAATAGAGTGATACCCATAAAGGGATGAGGGGAGAAGGAGAAAGAGATGTTTGTAGATGCTTTCTGTTTACCCTATTCCGCCTGTGTGACTTTGACCAAATTACCTAGCCTCTCAGATCTTCCTCACTAGGAAGGGGAGGTGATCCCAGTGTCTACCTTGCAGAGTTGTCAAGGGATTAATGTAGAAGTGAGGTCACCTGACATTAAATGTCAGCTTTTATTATTATCTCCACTTTGAGATGGGAAAAACTAACGGGGCTTGAAGGTTTGAAGATATGTTAGCCAAATAGCAGTTAGGGCAGGCTTTGGGGACTCTGACCCTAAGGAAACCACAAAAGGCAGCAGGTTGCAATGCCCTCTGAACTTCCCCCAGGACCACAGGCCACTCACTAGTAGGTTTCTGGGTGCCGAAGTGAAGCTCCAGGTCGAGGTATTTCACCATGTCACTCAGTTTATCGTAGTCAGAGTCCTCCCCGAGCTGTGAGGGAGTAAGGGGAGGTTCAGAGGAGGAGGAACAGCAACAGCTGGACTGCCCTCTCCAGCTGTCCACTCTGCAGGCTGTCCTGGGCTTGAGGGATGAAGTCCAAAACAGGAGACTAGTACAGAAAAAGCTAAATCATTCAAGTTCTCAGGTGAGGAACTGTCTCCCCTTGTAGTCAATAATACAGCCATTCTTGGGACCCCATCCATGCTGAAACTGGGCTGGAGCAGGGGATGTAAAGAAGTTGTCTCCTTTGCAGGGAGTGAGCTCACCCCAGGCCATCCTGGGCAGACAGAGCTGGGGCTGGGGGAACCTAAGCAGTAAAGGCCACGGGCTGGAAGCTGGACAGGTGGCTGAGATGATCTAAGAAGGAGGGGACCCTCTGGGGCTTGGACAGGGAGTGAGGATGGAGTGGTTGCCCATGGAGAGATCCCAAAGGGAGAGTAGTCTCAGAATATGGCCACATGTCAGAGACAATTAGCATGGAATTGGACTTGGCCACATGGGTGGCCTGTCACACAGGGTTTTCCAGCTTTGATAACCAGTGGAAGGACTATACTGTGGAGCAAATCTCAAGGACTCACCTAACGCTTGTAGGACTAGGTCTGCAGGGGACCCAGTAGGTGTCCTGCTGAAAATCTTTTTATTAGCAACATGGAAAGATTTCTTGGAGATATGGGCTGATGCCATCTAGGATGGGAAGGCAGGAAAAATAACCGAGACCCAGGACATGGCCAAGAGGAACAATGACAAGCGTAACCTGAACAGCGTGGTTACGTGTGAGGGCATGTTGTTGGTCCCAAGAAGATGAAGAGACTGACGTTGAGGATGAGGTTGGGCAAGACCTCTGTGATGGGGCAGGCCCAGAAGCAGGAGGGATCCCAGGCCATATTTAAAGAAGAATGGTATCCAAGTCAAAGGAGGTATGCTCTCTCCTCTGAATTGATCAAGTCCCACTGGGAGCTTGGAGACTGCTCTGTGACAAGGGCTTAACCACTGGACTATGGAGCTAGAAAACACATTGTAGGGGAATGACCTAAAGAATAGGTGTAGAGTGAATCTTGTTCATCTTACAGGTTAGCTGGTTTGTGGATAAAACAATATACTTGCTCTGCCTTATTTAAAGGGCCAGACAGAAAAGAGGGCAAGGGAATCTTGGAAAGACAGGAATTCAGAGGAATATAAAGAAAGATGGTTACATGTATCCAGTGAGGGGCTAGGGTTGTGGCTCAGTGGCAGAGCTCTTGCCTAGCACATGCAAGGCCCTGAGTTTGAGCCTCAGCACCACATAAAAATAAATAAATAAAATAAAGGTATTGTGTCCAACTACAATTAATTTTTTTTTAATTATCCAGTGAGGGATGGAAGACCTCAACAGGTAGCAAGTTCCCCACTGGTGAAGGTATTCAAGTATAAATACATACTGGGAGAATATTCAAGCATCAAAGTGGAAAGGTTGCGACTAATATGCAGTTGGGACCAGATGTTTTTTTAAAAACCTAGGAGAAACTAGCCCAGCCTCAAGAGTGACAGGTTTCGGGCTGGGGTTCTGGCTCAGTTGGTAGAGCGCTTGCCTCGACATGCAAGGCCCTGGGTTCTATCCTAAGCACCACGTAAAAACAAATAAATGAAATAAAGGTATTGTGTCTGTCTACAACTAAAAAAAAAAAAAAGTGACAGGTTTCAAAGGTTGGTGTGGGATATTTCCAAGTGTCCCCAGTGGTTTAGCGACACAGACTAGATTGGATTTGGACTGGGCCGGATGTGGATCTGCACTGACCAACAAGGTAGGTGTGTCCTTGGACCGGATCTTCACACCTCCTCTGCTTAAAGTGGGGAGGATCAGAGAGTGTTCCAACCAGCATTGGAAGGGGCCTGGAGGATGATGGGTCTTGTCTTCAATGCTGCTGTCTAGGCCACCCACCCCTGTTTGGGACACCCATGGGTCCCAGGTCACCTACCTGCCCCCAAATGGTGCCTTCTGAGTTTTCCACCTGCTCCCACCGCAAGCGCTTGACACTCATGTGGCTTGTCTCACTGCGCCGATGGCCCAGGCCCCGGGATAACATGGGGGGTGCACAGGGCACAGGTGGAGGAAGGGGGGGTGGGGGTGGGGGTGGGACTGGGTGACCAAGCTGGGTAAGGGGCTTGGTCAGGGCTTGAGTGGGGCCCCTGGTACTATCAGAGGTGCGGGAGCTGGGCTTGGGATCATGGAAAGGCAGGGGTGGTGGTGGGGGGGGACTGAGTGGGGGTGGGGGAATGTGATCAGAGATGGAAGAGTAAGTCAGGGAACTGCCCTCTTCACTGCTGCTGAGACACTCGCTGGCACTGCTCCGCTCGTTGGTCACAAAGCTGCCCTGGTCATCATGGAAGCTCATCTGGTGGGAGTGGGAGGAAATAAGTAAGGAGAGGGACAGGCCAGGCCCAGAGAGACCAGGGCATGTGGATAAAGCATGGGGTCAGAGATTAGAGAACCTGGGATGAGGATAGGACTGTCTCATGGTCGCCTGAAGATGGGATGGCTTGGGAGTGTAGCCTGGGATAAGGAAGGGGCTAATGTGAGATAAGTGTGTGGGGTAGCCTCAGGCATAGGATGGGCCAGTGTGGGAAAGGAAAAGCCTTGTGGTTTAACCTGAGGCTGTGAGGGGGTAGCCCAGGATGAGGAATGGGGTAGCCTGGGGGTATAGAGGATAGCTTTGAACAGGGGCAGATTCCCAGGGCAGGAAGCTTCTTGCAGGGGCCAGGGGATGCAGTTTCCCTGACCAAGCTCCACACTCATCTCCCCCCTTGCATGCCCACCTCCTCATAATCATTCTCAGGTGTCAGGAAATCATCCACGATGACCCTGGGGCCCAGTTGCTCGCTCAGCACATCCAGAAAGTGGTCCGTGTCCCGGCTCCGGATGGGGCGGGAGAAGGTGAAGAGCTTCCTGCGGCTGGGCGGGCGGGCAGGGTCCGGGCTGGGGGGGCTGTCAGGGTGGATGGGCCCGGGGCCTGGCTGGGGGGAGGGCGCCCTGCTGCTGTCCAGGCTGGCGTAAGGGTGGGACTCGGAGCTGCTGGGGGAGGCCAGGCCCCCTGAGCACAGCGGGTCGTAGCAGGGGGAGGGCAGGAGCCGCTCACTGGGCCAGGAGACTCCGGACAGGGTCCTGGGCCCTGGGTGGGGGATGGAGTATGAGGTTCAAGGTTCCAGGCACAGGCTGGAGGGGAGCCCTGGGGAAAGTTGGCTCTGTATCCAGGACACTCCCCTTTCCCTCTTTGAGCATAGTACTGGAAGCCCCTGGGTGACCCTGCCTCTAAGGCTTCAGAGACCAGACTGGGTACAGAGAGCACAGCTTGGATCCAGATCAGCCAGACTCTAGCTCATCTGGGAAACCATCTTCCCAACTGGGTCACTCACACAGAGTAATGCATGCACTTAATAGTTTATCCAAGAGCCGAGTGCTAACCTAGGGACTTCTCTGGGGGCATTCCTCTGTTTTTGCAAATTCATAGCTGTGGTGAGGACCCTGGGAACAACAAAGGGGCTGAGGCAAGCTAGACCTTGATGGATGATACCCATGCACGGAAGCCTTTGGGATTCCCCACAGTCTAGCTGCACACACTTTAGGGGTGTGACTGGAAGTGGGAATGACACCTGGAAAGCCAGCCAGAAGGACAGAAGCCAGTGCACCCTCAGGACCAGAGGCTGGATGAGCCCCTACCTGCTGTGCCTGCCAGACTAGGGCCTGGTGGGGAGGCCCGGGATTTGGACACACTCCCCATTTTCCCTTTGAAGCTGCTGTTCAGTCGAGACTCAAGCTCCGCATAGACGGCCGACATCTAGGGAGTGGAAGGGACAAGTCTAGATTACTCTCATTGCTCCCATATAGCCCCAGCTGGGACTCAGAGGCCAGGCCTGGGTCATGTGCCTGAGTCTGGAGTAGCCACAGGGAGTGTCTTGGCATGAGAGCTCCTGGGCCCCACTTCATGGGCCACCCATCTTCCACCCCTCATTGATTCCACTTAGGAGGCAGACAAGAGGTCTCACCATCTTGGGATTGGGGGTCTCAGGGAGAGATGTGCCATCCCCAGCCTGGCGTTCACCTGGGATCAGAGGAAGAGGCATCTCAGGGCAGTCACTGGGACCTGCTGGGAGGGCACCATGGGATCTAGTTACCACATCTGAGTTCTAAGACTCAGTCCCCAGCCCAGACCCTGCAGGCCTGCCCTACCAATCCAGGAGGGCACCACCAGCCCTGTTGCCCCCAGTCCCTGCCACTTCGTCTCTCATCAAGCCCATTTTACAGGAGGGTAACAGGGCCTTCCCATCTGGGGCCTTACCACAGCTGAGGCTGGACTCCAGGCCCTGGGACCGAAGGCTGCGGCGGCACATGGAAGAGGCCCTCACAGAGCTCCGAGGCTGGGGCTCTGGTGTGGGCTCTGGCGTAGGCTCCGGGGTGGGCTCCAGGTCCAGCGAGGACTCAGGCTCTGCTGTATGACACACAGGGGAGATGGGGCAGCTTGACTTCTTGGCCTCCACAAGAAAGGGGCCTCCACAAACACCCATACATGGGCCCTCCATAAGCAAGGGGCTCTGCACCTATATGTTGACTCTAGGCTACGGACCTTCCCTGCTGGTCTCTAAGACAACTCTCAAAAAGAAGCCCTGGGTCCAGAAACCAGGTGAACAAAAGAAGCACCTCACAGTAGTCAGCCTGAGGACAGAGCCTGAGTCGGGGCCCCAGTCCTCCCCAACTGGGCTCTCTTTTCAGGACCCCAATCTTCCAGGGTCTCAACACCCTGTGGTTGAACCAAGCTGGTCACTGCTGGACAAAGAGGCTTTCAGGGTGAAACAAAACTTCCAGGCCTAGGCAGACATGTGCTGCCCAGCCTGGATCCTGAGCTTCTTGCTAAAGCCCTCAGTCCTTCTCAGCAAACTGTGGATGTCTGGGACCAGGGATAATGGCCACACAAGGACTAGCAAAAAGCACATCTCTTGCGACTGCCATTGTGGGTGCAGAGTGCCTGTAGCGGGTAAAGCCACAGGGTCTGGCATCCTTTCCATTCACATGGCTTCAAACATGAAGTGCATGGTTTTGTGGGCCGACTGCCAGGTAGGCAGTGGTGGGAAAATGTGGTTGTATGTAGCCTAGCAGGCTCACAGTGTGTGGGACTGTGAACTGGAGCCCTCCAGCCAGGATGACCCAACCAGGAGTCACATGCTGATATATTTGAAAGCAGCAACCATGGGCATTTCTTGATCTGTGATATACTTCCCAGGGTATAAAGCACACGTGCTAAGATTACTTTCATGCCGCAGAGGAGAAACCTGAGACCCCCCAGGTGGTTAGGTGGAGCCTCCCAAGTCTCAGATCATGTGGTACATGCAGCATTAAGGTCAAGCTGGGCAGGCACATGCTCAGGGCCAAGTGTAGACCAAATCCAAGTGTGGTATGAATTTGCCTGGTATGTGGGCACATCTAGGTGTGAGAGGGGCCGGGTCAGCCATAAGAACTCACAAGTGGGAACAGGTGTGTGAATGTTCACCTGGTGGGCTGGGCAACTGGCAGCATGGGCAGGGGAAGGGGTATGCAGGGGATGCTTTACCTGTCATGGCCGTGTAGCCCAGGAAGCATGCTATTTTCTCCTGACAGAGCTCCTGCTCCTCATATGTCAGCAGCTGGTAGATGAACTGCCAAAGGACCTGCTTGGCAGGTGTGTCCAACACAGGGTAGACATCCACGATGAGGGTATCGATGTTCCTGAAGAGGGTGCAGGAGCAAGGGAGTCGTAACTCAGAGGATCCCCTTAGGGATGGGTGGCCAAAGGAGGCACTCGAGGCCACAGAATTCACCCTCGTGCTCTGCCCCCATCCTTGAAAGAGAGCAGTGGATGGGAAGGATCTCAGCACCGGTTGCTGAGATTCAAATCTCATTTCCTCCACTTGCCAGCTAAGAGACCTTTCTCAAGTTACTTAACTTCTCTGTTTTGGTTTCCTCATCTGTAAAATGGAGATTAAAAACAGCATCTACATCATGGAGCGGCTGTGAAGATTAACCCATTATGTCCTATTGTGCCATTTATGGAATATGTAAAAAAACTAACATTAAGCAACAAATACAGCACTTTATAATAACTTTGAAATAAAAATTTATGTTTTTAGAGTACTATTCTTTTGAGAAAATAATAGATGAGTGATTTGTAATAATACACATTAATATTGTTAATTATATCATTAACATCATTAAGGATAACAAATTGTATAATAAGCTCTAGATTAGGATTGCCAAATTATTTGAATGCACCTGTGTCAATTTAACTGAAATGCACACAGAATTGAAAACTTGAGACTTAATGGATTAAAACACAAAGAGTGTATTGGGAAAACAGACTCACTGTGTCAGGGACTAACAGATGATGGCCTATGAGCTAAAATCTGGCACATCACCTGTGTTTATAAAGCAAGTTTTACTGGAACAAAGCTACAGCCATTTGTTTATATTTGGTCTATGGCTGTTTCTAGGCTACTATAGTAGAATTGTGAAGGAGGACCACATGGGCTGAAATGTCTAAAAATTTTATTATTGACTAGTATTATATAGGAAAGAAAAGTTGGATCCTTACATAATACCACATAGAAAAGAAAAGCAAATTCAATTTGGATGAAAAACCAAAATGTGAAAGAAAAAAATATTAAAATAAGAGGATATCTTTTTGGGAGCGGGGGGGGGGGTAGAGGGGACTGGGGATTTAATTCAGAGGCACTTGACCACTGAGCCACATCCTCAGCCCTATTTTGTTTTTTATTTAGAAACATGATCTCACTGAGTTGCTTAGAGCCTTGCTTTTGCTGAAGCTAACTTTGAACTCATAATCTTCCTGCCTCAGCCTCCTGAACTGCTGAGATTACAGCCATGGGCGACTGTGCCTGGCAAGAGGTATCTTTTGACTAGAAGCAGAAAAGGACTTAAAATTTCAAAATCTGAAATTATAAGACCAAAAATATGGTCGATTATACAAAATCAAGCATATCTGCTCAAAGAAGCACAACTTAGACACAATAATATTAGACATAACAGAAGCAATAACAAAACAAATGAGAGAAGATATTTTTAATGTCCAAAATGAATAAGGGATCAGTATCTAAAATAAACAAGAAATTTGAGCAAATCAACAAGAGCCAAAAACAAAAATGGATAAAGGATAGGAATAGGTGATTCACAGTGAAAACAGAAAAACTACACAGGCATATTTGAAGACCACTCAAAATAATTGGTTATAAAAGAGAGCCAAATTTAAATCACAAGATGTCATCTTATGACTAAAAGACCAAAATTTTTTTAAAACTGGGATCATGCCAGGTGTGGTGGTGCTCGCCTGTAATTCTAGTGGCTTGGGAGGGTAAGACAAGAGGATCACCAGTTCAAAGCCAGCCTCAGCAATGGTGAGGCACTAAGCAAATCAGTGAGACCTTGTCTCTAAATAAAATACAAAATAGGGCTGGGGATGTGGCTCAGTGGTCAAGTGCCCCTGAGTTCAATCGCCTGTATCACCCTGCAAAAAAAAAAAAAATGGGATCAGGTTGTAAACAATGAGACCTTAACTGAAGTTATAAACAAATATTAAATATGCACGGAGGTAAATATGGACAGAGTTAAACACAGTAGTCAGACATGGAAGGTGACATATAACACAATGATGATATAAAAGAAAAATACATCAGTGATGCACTCCTGTAATCTGAGAGGCTCCGGAGGCTGAGGCAGGAGGATTTTGAGTTCAGAGCCAGCCTCAGCAACTTAGTGAGGTTCTAAGCAAATCAGTGAGACCCTGTCTGTAAATAAAATACCAAAAAAAGGGGCTGGGGAGTTGGCTCAGAAGTAAAGCATACTTGTGTTCAATCCCGGGTACCAAAACAAACAAACAAAAAAACCCATAATAGATAGCAATGCACAGTTTTCAAGAACATGTTCAAACAAACAAACAAAAAAATCAAATAAACTCATCAGACTGGTAATACAGCAGGGATATTTAAAATTGGACAGAAAGTAAAGCTCAAAAGGAATGAAGATAAAAACAATACATATATCTATCAATGTTCAAATGGATGAGCAAAACATGGTGCATCCATACAACAAAATACGTACAGGAATGAAGTACAAGCTATAACTTGAAAGAACTATGAAATTACTATGCTAAATGGAAGAAATCAGACATAAAAATTCACATGTTATATGATTCCTGTTCACATATAAGTCCAGAATAGGAAAATCTATAAAGAAAGAAAGTAGATTAGTGGTTGCTTAAGGTCAGGGGATAGAAATAAATAAGCATGTGTAGGAATGTCATACTGAAAGGGCTCAGGAATTCTTTTTGATGTGGTGAAATTCTAAAATTGACTGTAATGATGTTTGCATATATTTATGAATACAACAACCACTGAATTATACACTTAAATAGGTTGTATATGAAATATTCTTTTTTTTTCTTTTTTGATGGTACTGGAGACTCAGTCCAGGACTTCTTGCATGGTAGGTAAGCACTGTACTACTGAGCTACATTCTCAGCCCTTTAAAACTTTATTTTGAGTCAGGGTTTCACTAAATGGCCCAAATTGGCCTCAAACTTGCATTCATCCTGCCTCAGTCTCCAGGATAGTTGAGATTACTGTCATGCACCACCATGCCTGGACATGAATCATATTTTACCATAATTGTTTAAACAAAATTAAAGCGAAGGATTAGGGCTGGGGTTGTGGCTTAGTGGTAGAGCGCTTGCTTCCCATGCATGGGGCACTGGGTTCGATCCTCAGTATCACATAAATAAATAAAATTTAAAAACTAAAATATAATGTTTATTTATAAATAAATAAAATAAAAACTACAACTAAAACAAAAAAATAAGAAAAAAAAGTGAATGATCAAGTGAGGCTTGGCACAGTCCAGAATAATGATCCCATGGGCCAAGAAGGCTGATCAATGCAGTCTGCTGCAGCTGAGGTGCAGAAAGAAATATCCCACTCTCACTCGAAGAGCCTGGCTCATGACAAGTGAGGCTCTCATGGGGGTCCTGCCAATTTGCCCAAGGCTATGGGGCTAGGAGGTGTCAGAGGAAGAGTTTGTTCTAGGAAACTCCAACCCCTGATCTCCCTGGTGCCAGCCACTACCTTCTTGTACTCTGCCCTGCAAAAGAAGGGGCTGAACTGAGGAGGCTCAGGCTCTGAGAATAGGGTGCTGAGTCTGCACAGGACTTGGGGCACACCTACAACAGGTTCCCATCACCACTCTGCTCGCCCACCTGTGCTGGAAGAAGCTCTCAAGGGCCCGGCAGACCCCATAACGCTCAGGAGGCGTGAGCAGGTGCTCCAGCTGCTGGCTGAAGGTTCTCCCCTGGACCCGGATGCTGGAAGGCAGGATCTCGGCCACCCACAGCAGGGAGGTGAGCGCTGATGACGGGTTGGGGGAATCCATAGAATCGGAGTCTGCTGGGGCCATAGACAAGGGAATCAACAGTGACCCAAAGTCCCCAGGCCAGGTGTAGTTTTATTTTGGCAGCTGAAGTCAATGGCTCCTGAGCTGGGAGTGCCATGCATTGGGATGTGCACTGCTGCCTTCAGCGGGGGACTGGGATGGAGGGAGAGCCTTGAGCGGCTTCTGGTCGCTGTGCATTGGGGCTCCATAGCGCCACCTTTGGGCAGCCCTGAGAAGGGAAGCTGCAAATCTGTGAGATCACGGTCCACCGCAGACTGACCCAAGGAAGAGGCATGCAGGTCTCACCGCTAGCGAATGGAACGAGCCCTTCTTCCACCACCAGCGTGGGCATTGCGCCACTGCCCTGTAGCATGGACACCACCTTGTCATGGGAGCAGTTCCTGCCAAGCAGACATGGCCCAGGAGGGCCAGATGGGGTGAGTCCTGTCCCCCTCCCTGCCCTGTCTGTAGAAGTCACACAGCCAGACCACAGCTGGACTAGCCAAGGCCCTGCCTTTCCTGTTCATCAATCTCCTGTGCAGAAGCCCCAGGCCTCAGCCATTTTGGTTTGCTACTGCCCTGAGTCTGACCTTCCTGGGCACAAGGAAGGAGCTGGGCCCATGACATTCTGAGGCAGAGCTCCCCCTCCAGATTAAGACACAGATGGTCCTTTCATTTCTGTGTCCCCAGTATGGAGCTGGAGCATTTTCTGGTTGACCAGCTGCAGGGATAGATTCAAGAGTTCCCGGTAGAAGAGGGGCAGACACCTAGGGCCAATGGATCAGAGGAGATGGGACTAGTCTCTGACCTCATGTCCAGTCCATTGAGGAAGAGGATCCGGTCACCTGATTTGAGGGCTGCATTATCAGCTGGGCTGCCTGAAAGCAAGAAGAAAGGGCATGTTGGTCAGCCGGCAGGGCCCTACCCTGGCCCTGTAGGGGACCCACCCCACTCTTCCAGCCAGATGCTATTCTCCTGATTTACAGGAGAAAAATAGAGACTCAGACCCAAACTAGCGCTGGTAAGTGACTCACTTCTAAGAACGCAGACCAACCAATCCAGAGCCCAACCCAATCACCTCCTCTGTGGAGCTCTCTCACTCTGGGCCACTGTCCACCCACCCTTATCACACCAGGGCCAGGCACCCACTTAGTTGGTTTAGCCTGCCTCCCTGCTTCCTTCCTGTGAAAACCACAATAAAGACTCTGTTCATATTCTCCCCTTGCTCTGTCAGCCTCCGACCAGCCCCAGGACTTCTCCTCATGTCCCCTGTGGCATCCTGTACCTCCTCCTCTTGGGATATGTCTTGGCAAAACGATATTCCAGTGGCAAATGTCTCCTGACCCATTGGCCTTGCCACACCTGAATCAATAACACCTGCCTACAGGTTGGAGCAGCTAACTTTTGCTGTCTGCCTTGGCAGCCCTGAAGGTCACCTACCACCTGGAAGGGAAGCTGGAAAATCAGCTCCTATGGATACAGATTTGCTCATTCCACTTCCTTTGTTTGTCATCATTGTTAAACTTGACTTGGAACTAAGTAGGGAAAGTGATAAATGCCTAAATAAAATACCATCCCAGACTGTGCGCAATGCTCTCTTGAAGCTGTGGAGACTGTCTAGAGAGGAAAAAGACAATCTGGGAAGACTTCCTGGAGAGATGGGATGGGGGGACTGTTCCCAGGAATAGGAAAGGGGGAGAAGGTGATGCTGGTAATTAAACCAATGTGACCTGTCTGGAAGGGGTGGGAGGGCTAGGGGACTGTCCCAGGGAACCGAAGATCACACCAGGCCTGGAGCCAGAAGACACCACAATATGGTGTTTGATTTGCCTGGGTCTCTTTAGGCCTCTGTACCCCCATCTGTAAAAGCTCCCACAAAATAATTCATTCAGTGTCCCATGATAAGAAAAGCATGAGGTTACCAGCCTAAAGGTTGAGTTAGGGAGACCAGCACACCTGGATTTTAACAAGGCCCTAAGCCAAGTATCTTTACACACCTGGGAAAGGCAGGAAAGTGGGTCTTAGGATGGGGGAACAGTTGTAAAAGCCATAAACAGCAGCGTTAATCATTTCTAGAGGAAGCCCTCTAGGGAGCAGCCTTGGGCCTTTTTCCTACACCATTGTGTCAACAACTGATGCCCAAATCCAAAAAAGAACTACAGCATGCCAGTTATCAGGATAAGGAAGGTCTCAGAATGATCCAAAAGGTTGGGACAATGATGCTAAAGCACTGAGGCACTTTCCCATTTCACAAATTTATATGCTGAAGATTCAGGATATGGAAGTGTAGAAAGGGATTAGCAGGGATACTGGTGGGGATGTGTCAATAGGAGCATCATGCTCAGGTGCTGGGAAGGGAGGGATGCACATTCTGGTCCTTGATTTCCCTGGGTCTCTTTAGGCCTCTGTTTCCCCATCTGTAAGCTGCAAACTTACATGTAAGAATTCATTCAGCTTCCTATAATGGGAAAAGCATGAGGTTACCAGCCTCATTCAAACAGCAGTAGTTAATCATTTCTAGAGGAAGCCCTCTAGAGAGCAGGTGGCCCAGCCCTGTGGAGGGGTTACAAGAGGGAAGAGTTCAATTCAGTGCCAGAAGTTTCTGCCTCACTGACACCTTCCACAATGGATGAGTACCTCCCCACCTCTGCCCACTGACAGGACAGGAAAGGATTCCTTCACTGCAAAGGCTCTGCCTTCTTGAAGATGCCATAATTTCAGGAGCAAGAAGGGGAGGCTGGTGGGAGGCAAAAAGGAGTCTGTCTAGTTCGGTGGCTGAATAGTGGGCAAGGCCCTGAGATGGCAGCGTCGTACTTGCTAGCAGGTGCTCATGGGCTCTCTAAGCAGAGAATGTTGTTTGGGACTCAGCCTGGCAGGCACCAGCTCTGCCCTGGCTGCCCCAGTGTCCCAGAGAGTGTCCACAGCCCTCTCTTTGGACATAGGAAAGGTCTGGATCAAGAACTTGGATCACTTGGCTTAGAGTGATGGTGAACTTGGAGACCTCTAGCCTCAAGTATCTTAAATAGCTGGTTGACCTGGATATATTGGACTCTGGGACACTCAGAGGACACAGGTTATATGACATGAGGTGGGAGGTTTTGCTGAGCAACGGGGGTAGAATGACAAGGGAGAAAGGGCTATAACAGGGTCTTTCACCGATCCCGAACCTTAGAGACTCTAAGGACAATCTGCCCTCCCCTCACCAGGAAGGACGGACTCAATCCAGACTGGCCCGTGGCCACGCAGCGTGAAGCCGAAACTCTTGTTGCCCTTGTAGACTCGGACAGTCCTAGGAAGAAAGAAAGGCCAAGATGGGAGACTGGCAGCCTCCCCTGCTATGGGAGGAGGGACTCAGAGGATGGAGACGACTCGTGGCTTGTTCCTCTTAACCTTCCCTGTCCCCCCAGATGTCCACCTCCCGTGCTCTCTGCCCACGTCCCCATCCCAAGGGCGCAACAGAGAGGGGTCCAGTGCCCGGGCCCGCGCGCCACGGGTACCTGCGCGCTCCCCCAGGGCCTGTGCGGCCGCCCACCAGCGAGGCAGCCTTGCGCGGCGGCGGTTCGTCCGGGCGGCGCGGCGGGGCGCTGGCGCGCGTGGACACCAGGAGGCGCTCGGGTCGCTCCTCGCTGCGGCTCCGCCGCAGCCGCTGCGCGCCCTGCGCCCGCCGGGCGCGGCACAACTTGCCCAGCAGGCCCTGTGACACCACCTCGTCGAAGCGCGCTCGGTGCTTCTTGGGGATGAAGATCCTGCGGGTGAGGAATGCAGAGTCGGGGTGCACCCCCTGACCGCGTCCCGATGGCGGCCCAAAGGTGTTCCACGGTAGATGCCACCCTCAGCTCTCCTGCCCCTCCCTCGGGATGGAGGTGGAATCTCCAGTCTCCCGCTCTGTGCCTAGACTTAGGCTCCCACTCATCCTGGGCCACACCTGGAGAGTGGCGTCCTGCTCGCTCCACCTATGGAAAGTCTTGTTCACTGACCTCTGCGGAGTTAGCATGCTTCGTCCATCTCCGGTGTCTCCCCAACTCCTTCATCTCATGCCCTTGGACCTTCCAGGCCACGCCCCTGCCAGATACCCCCAACCTCTCCACTACTTGTTTCTCTGTGTCTCTGCTGGAAAAAGAGCAGTGGCCACTTCTCCCAACCTTCAGGACACCTCCAGTCTTCCTGCTTGTTTCTCTGTCCAGCCCTGCTCTCCAGCTGCTGACTCAGAATTCACCAGGACCACTACATATGCCACATTTATTCCCACCTCTAAGCTTTTATCCAGATTGTTGCCACTGCCTGGTCCCCTCTGTTTGCTTTCTAAACTGGGTTCGCCCTTCCACACCCAACACTGGTCTCCCTTCAATTTAATCCTACATGTATTCAATGAGTCCCTGCCATCTGTGCTGGCTAGGTACTAAGGCTCAAAGCTGAAAGGCCTGTGGCTGCTGCTTTCCAAGGAGTCACCCTGGAAATGTAGGGTGGAGAAAGCACGACCCCCATGCACCCTGGATGAGTCCTTGGCCCCCATGGTTCTCCTCTTGTGAGGCTGGCAGTTCTCTGAGGGCTGGGTCTGTAGCTTAGCTATGAGCTCAACATTTAGGAGGGACTCAGGACCCAGAGGGGCTGCAAAGATTTAATCACATCTCCAAGTAACAACAGGAGCTAACATCCTGGTGGACTTTGCAACTGGCTGCAGAGGATTTTGAGGCACAGAGAGGATCTGTGACTTCCGGGGGTTACACAGCTGGCCCTAGGCAAGGCTGGAATCAACCTAGCCTTGGAAGCCTCAGCACTGTGGTGGGGCTTCTGACACCAGCAAGGCCTCCCTGGCTGTATCCCAAGGCTCCCTTCCCTGTTCTTTGTATCAGAAGCCAGTGCCAAGGGAATAATGGGGAGCTGCGAGACAGGGGAACACTGGCTTGCAGCTAGCTGAAAGAACGCCCTCTGAGGTTGCTCTGTGGCACTCACACAGTTCCCCTGGCCTCTGTGGGCAGGACTAATAAGGCCAATCAAGCAGAATAGGCTGCCTAGTGGGAGGGAAGAGGAGTAAATCCTCTGGGAGGGGGTAAGCTGGCCCTGTCCCCCAGCGAGCTCTGCTCCAGGTCTGCATATTCCAGATGACCAGGAGGCCAGAATGAATGACCTGCTCAACTCTTTTGGGAGCCCTTTCCTACCTACCAGCAGTGATTCTTACAAATCTGGAGCCCCAGCCTCATTCCTCAGATGGTCACTCAAGGTCTCTGGAGCCTGACACTTCCATCTGCCTGGCCTGCATAAGCCCCACACCCTCCCAGTTCTCATGCCTCATGCCCAGGAAAAGGAGGGATGACAAGCCTGAGACTGTCCAGCTCCAGCCCCAGGCTCTGCAAGGCATCAGCTCTACACACCCAGCTCCTGAGTTTAGCCTGGGCAGGGGCCAGGTGACCAGCCCAGCTCCACTCTCCAGCAGCAAGTAGAAAAGTCTCTCCTCCATACTATGGGAACCAGACTGAGTCACCCACTGCACAGGTGGAAGAAGGATGAGTGACAAGTTCACTGCTTGATGTCCTTGGGGCTGAGCCAGAGGCCAAGTCTGCCTGGTGAGCCAGACACCCTCCATGGCTTGTGTGGGCCATCCATTCTACTCTCTGGCCATTCACCCCTGGGGCTGCTATGAATTGACCAACTCAGCACAGCTACATGCAGTGGAGTTGAATTGACTCTTTTGACCCCCCTCTGACTGTGACAGCCTGGCAATAGGTATCCAGGATTCCCATGTCCCTTCTATGCCAGAAGTCCTTTCTGAGGTCCCTAGATTCTTCCTGAGAGCCACACAATGACCTAGCACTCGAGGTCAGTTCTGCTACCAGGGGCTTCCCTGGGGTCCTCTCTCTCCACCACATTCCCTGGCCGGACCCAGCTTTCTCCACCTTGCCCTTGATCAACAGCCAGCGAATTGGTGTGGTGGGGATTGGGGTGAGGGTGCCCTGGTTCATCCGGGTAGCTTCAGCTTGGGACGGGCCATAATTGAGAGGTCGTGCCTTCCAAACTCGGGACAGGGCACGCTGGATTCTCACCCACAGCACTCGACCTCAGCCTCAGCTCCCTGTCCTGTTCCTTCCACCAGTGTAGGAAGAAAAAAGAGGGCTTTCCAATCCTAGCTCTTCTATCCGACCCCAACTCCTAGGATTGCATATCGAATTCTTGGTAACTAACACGCAAACCTCGCCGCTCTAGTACCCTCCCAGTTTATTTACACCCTCCCCAGCCCCCAACTCCGCCCGAGCTCGGTGGATACCCACCCAGGGCAGGGAAGCCCCTCAATGCCCCAGCCCCACCCACTTTCAGGCTAGCCCGAGACGAATTTGCCGCGCCTAGGGCGCACAGTTGGGGGGGGGGGAGGGCGCGGGGCGCAGTGGGGAAGCTACCTAAAGTGCCGAGAGAAGCCCTGGTCCTTCCCCATCTGGAACCCGGACGGCGGCGCCGCAGGTGCAGAAAGGCAGGGAGTGGCGGAGCCCGCGACCGAGCTAGGGCGCCGCAACTCCACGCTCCTCCGCCCGGCGAGCGCGCATGGCCCCTCCGGAGCCGTCCGGGCCCCGGCCCGGCGACCGCCTCCTCTCGGTCGCCCCGCCCCGCCCCGCCCCTCTCCTCCCCTCTTGGGGACCCACCAGTTAGCTGGAGGATGGGTGCGAGAGCCGAGAGCCGGGGGCTGGTTCGAGAGTGCTCTACTGCCTCTCCTTGGCTTCCTCCTTTACTCCTTCCCCAGGAGCTTCGCCTGCGACCTTTCCCGCGCGGCACCCTGCCCCCCTGCACGGTGGCCAGTCCTCAATACCAGCTGCACCCGACAGCTCAGAGGAAGCCTATCGGCCTTTTGTAGAGCACGGAAGGCTTTCAGGAGGTGGTGGCCATTGCGCTGGACCTCCGGGGGTCAACAGGAGTTAGCCAGCGAAAAGAAGCCCTTCCCTCCTACCCAGAGGTCAGCTGCGGTGGAGAAGAGGCTGGAAAGGGAGGCCTTGAATATCACGGTCAGCAATTGAAACAGCACCCCCAGAATAATGGGAGGGAGATGTGGGATCTTATGGATTCAAGGGGAGGTGAGGAACGCCAGAAGTTTTAGTACATCCGGAGAGGGATGCTAGTGGGAGGGGACCCAGGGGAAGGTGTTGGATTGCACAAGAGGCTAGATTCTAAAACACAGAGGAGGTAAAGATTTTGCAGCTTGGTGAGTGAGTAGAAGTGAGGAGGGGACTGCTCAGGAAGTAGGTCTCCCAGGAAGTAGGTCTCCCTGAAAGAACAGTTCCCTGCTGAGAGAAAAGCTAAGGAGGAGGAGAGAAAGGTGACAGAAAAGGGTCTGGATTCTTCCCCTGGCTCTAGGCCTGCTACTCCCTGAAAGTCAGAACAGTAGCGGACGCCAAGGACCTTCTCTGCATGGTCATTCCCACTGACTCAGAGTCCTGACCGCTGGAGAGGCCAGGATCTGAGATCTTGGATGGAAATGATAGATTCTAGGGAGCCAGTCCAAGCCATCCTCAAGGGGGCTCCTCAGAGACAACCTCAAAGGGGGACATTGACTCAGCAGGAGACAGACACCACCCAAATAGGCTCAAACTGCAGAGTAGGGAAACTCAGGACTTTACCTCTGTGTTCCTCAAAGGAACACCTCACCAGGGGCTGGCCTTCAGTTGCCACAGGAAAGAACCTGCAGAACTGATCAGGCCATACTGCCCAGCACATCTCATGCCCCACCCCCCATTCCTGGTCCCAGTGAGGCCACCACCCTGCCATGACCTCCCAGAGCTGCACTGCTCCCTAGCAGCAGCAGGAGCCAGAGCCAAACTCCTCAAGCCATGATCTCCCCACACCTTGTCCTCAGCCCTGCCAGGGAGAGAAATGTTTGGTAACCCTCTCAGCACCATTTGCTGACATCCGCATGGCTACCATCACCCTCCCCAGGCAGGCATCATGACAGAGCCATTTCTGGTTGTTTTGTGCCAACTGCAATGGTCCAGAACCAGGCACATCCAAAGGCTATGAAAACTGCCCACCGTGCCAAGGGCAGAAGAGATGTAAGCATGGAGCAAAGGTTTGTGCTGGATTCCAGACATACTGCCTCTGGGCCAAATCCATAAAGGCACAGTGATCGCCCCTGATGGGCCAGCAGCTGGTTCTTTTGATAAAAATCCAAGGCAGCTTAGGTGGGCTAGAGGACAAGTGACAGAAGCTGGGCTTCTCTGAAGTACCTGCCTCAGCAAGAGAGTGTTCCCAAAGACCATTCTAGGACAACAGTTCTCAAATGGGCAATGATGCCCCTCCCCCAGGGGCCATTTGACACTGGGAATATCTTTGGTTTTCACAAAATGGCAACTAGGGGGATGCTGCTGCCAAACATCAGATACACACAGGGCAGCTGCCAACAACAAAGAAATTGTAAGAATGACAGAGAAAATGTCAATAGTGCTATACTTGAAAAACCTGATCATGTTAAAAAAAAAAAAAGAATGAAAGAAAAAGAAAGAGACCCCCCCAGGAAGTCAATATTAATTGATCACATACTATGTGCCTGCCGCTTTACCTACACTAGCTCATAGAATTTTTCCAATAACTTCACATTGTGGTGTCCCTAGCACTTGTCACTGAAGAAGAGGTGGAGGGGGTGCAGATGGTCCCTCTCCCACCTCCAGATTGTCAGCTAATCCCTTTTCTGCCTACAGTTGGCAGGGTTCATTTCTAGGGTTTCCTACCAAGAGTCCTGCTGGGAACACACGGGTTGACCAGACCTATTTTACAAACTGTAAAGGTCAACGAACCTGTTTAAGTTTGCACCCTCAGTGAGGGGACCTGGGGTTCCAGGTCTGTCTTGATTTCAAATTCCAGCTCCTTCCCCTACCTCAGCTGCTTTCCTCTCCAGCCCACTCTCACACACACCTCTCCCCCTTCCTCAAATGTTCCCTGAAACACTAGCGACCACCCAACTGACTGCCTTCCTGTTCCCTCCTGGCCACCTCACACTTTCCAAACTGCTTGGCCTGTCCTAATTAGAAAGTCATTTTATCACTTCATCAGACTAGGATCCCTCTGGGGACAGACCCAAATTAGGCTCTGAGTCACAGCATTAACTGATATTATAAAGGAAGCCTCCTTCGGCTTACATTGCAGCCACAGACCTGTCTTGCACCTCAAAATACTGCTTTTCAAAGGAGCCTGGATGTGTTCTATGTCAGCATTATCCCAGATGGTAGTCACTAGCCATATGTAGCTATCATATGTAGTGCCTGAAATGTGGCTAGGGAGACTTAGCTGAACTTCAAATTGTATCAAATATTAGTGAAAATTTAAATAAATAATCACATGTGGTTAGTAGCTACTATGCCAGAAGGCCCAGGTTTATGGTTTCAGTGCTTCTTCCTCCTGCTCCCCAAATTTTGTCTTTTAGCCATTGTGACCATCCCTCAAGAAGCCACACCTCTCTGATTTGGGTTCTAGTTTCCATGTGGAGCCTTGGCACGTACACACACACATATGCAAATATATATATTTCTTCACCCATCACCCTGTAGCAGCTCAACCTCTTATTTAAGCCTTGACTCTCCTTGATGTGGGTTCTCCTGCAGGACCAGTCTCCCTGTGCCTGCACCCCACCCCCCAATCCTATGCTGGATGGTTTATAGCTGGCACAGTCGACTTCCAAGGGCTACTGTGACACCTCCCTCATCCTGTTCCTGACAAATTTTCCTTGGGGACTCTCCTCCCATCTTCGAAGGACACACCACCAGAACTCCCCCACCCCACACTAGTCACTGTCTGAGCCACAGCACTGACACCTGCTACCTCCAGAGAGGAGCTTGCTCTGATTGCCCATGGATGAGTTGGCCATGGTCTGCCCTGAGCTGGCACTCCATCCTCAGAATCACAGCTGGTAGTGGCTGGACCCTTCCTGCCTGCTCTGAGCTCTCCCAGGAAGGCAGTGCCCTGGAATCTCCACAGAGACCCCAGAACCCACCTTAGATTCCAGTAAAAGGTGACGCTGGTGGCAACTGGCCAGACCTGGGAAAGAGGTGTTTGGAAGCCCTAGTGGAGAGGTGGGGGTGGGGACCGGTGGCTGAAGCCCTAATGAGAGGGTAACCCTCTCCCTGCAGAGCCCAGCTGGGTGCCGCCCCCTCCTCCAGCAGCCTCGCCAATTTTCCTGTCTCATTTGACACCTGCTGACAATACAGGCAGCTGTTTCATCCGCCCCGGGAGCCCCTAGGATGCTACTGGGCACCGGGCATCCCAGGAGTCCAGGCTTCCCGCTTCCGGGGATTTAAGTAGAGCCACCGCCCCCCACCCCCGCCCCGCCTTCCTGACTTGCTACCTGGCCGCGGGTCGCTGGGGGACAGCAATCCTGAAAAACAGGGGCGGGGGCTGTCCCGGGAGAAGCAGGAGAAGCGGCGGGGACTCAAGCCGAGCAGCACCGAGGGAAATGAAGGGACCCGAGAGGACCTCCAGCTGAGTCCTGCTGCTGGCAGCCTGGGGACAAGCGTGCCAACTTCTCTAGGGACAGCGGGCCGCCTGAGCCCTCCCCGGCCAGCCCAACCCTGGTGGGGCGGGGCGGGGGGCTGCCCATCCGTCACCTCCCCAGGGATCCCTCAGCGCCTGTGCATCATCTCCGCGGCAAATTCGGCTCTAGAAAGAACTTTTTTTTTTTTTTCTCGCTGGATTTTCCCAGCAAGGGGCAGGACCCTTACTCACCCCAGGCAGCTCATGGTGGCCTCTTTCGGTGGCCTCCTATGCTCTGCTGCAGAGCCAAGACGCTGCGCCCGGGCTGGTGGGGGCGGGGGGGGGGGTGGCCAGCCCGGTCCCTGACATTGGCCAGGCCCACAGGGAGGGGCAGGCTGCGGGGTGAATGGCAGCCAGGGATGGGGCGGGCTGAGCCTTGGAACCGCGAGGGCTGGGGGCAGTCACAGACCCGAAGGAGAGGGTGGGGGGGGGGCAATAAGATGGGAGTTGAAGGGAATGCCCCACAGGATCCGGATAGGGAAAGCCCCAGAGGGAGCCTGATCCAACCTGGGCAGGCAGTGAGACCCTCAATCAAAGAGATGGGATCTGGAGATTTATGGGACACCTCGGGTCACTCCAGGTGAGGACCCATCAGGATTTTATTTTATTTTTTTCCTGACAAACAAATTTAGACAGTGAGTCCACAGCAGAGCAGAACAGCAGAAAGTGCACAGCAGACTAGCTTTAGGGTCCTGGGACTCCCACTATTTTGCTGTGTGATTTTAGGCCAGTCTCTGAATCTCCCTAAGCCTCAGTTTGGCTCTGTGAAATGGATTAATTCCAGGGGAATTCAGCAAAAGAGTGTCCATCAAGGGCCTGGTGAGGTCCTTGGAACACACCATCATCATCATCATCATTAAAAGGTGTCAAAGGGCAGAGAGCAGGCATCATCTGCAAGATTGAGAGTGGGTGTCCAGATCCACACAGCACTGTCCAAGGCTTCCTGCCTTCCCACTGTGCCTCTGCTCAGCCTCAGTAAAGAACTGGGAGTATCTCAATATCCTGTTGGAGATTTCCACCATCTGGAGTTGGGATAGAGCAGGGCATCTGTGGCTTTCTATCAGGAGGTGGGCCCTCTCTGAGGCCTATAGCAGCCTAGCAGTTGGCAGTCCCTGTACTCACACAAGGTGATGTCCTGGCATCCAGCAGAGCCAATAGCTACCTTCTCTGGTTGCCTTTCAGGGTGACTAGTCTACCCTTGTTCTGGGCTGCAGATGCGTTGGTGGCAAGTGCAAGAGCCACTTGTGCTGGTGGGGTGCTCAGGATGATGGTGGGAAAGAGGACAGTGTGAGTGAAAATTACCCTCCCCACCCACCCTGCCCCTGACTGAGTCACCTGAGGTTCTCCAGGAGTGGCCCACGGGCCTCCCGGGGCAGTGCCAGGGTGAGAGCCCACACCAGGTCATCTACCAGTGGCTCAGCTGCAAATTGCTTCAGAGCTGCAAACACCTGCTCCTTGGCAGTCAGCTGGTCCCCCAAGATTTCATCCACCTGCAAGAAGGGATCCATGGTAGAACCAGGGAGAATCACTCACCTCTGTCTTCCTCTCTCAGTTTGCTTCCACAAAGTAGCTGACATGGAGAGAGTTTTGCCTATATCATCATTTTAAACCTTACAGCTTTCTCTAGATATTCATTCTACATCTAAAAACAAAGCAAAACAACCCTGAGACTGATAGAGGTAACGTGACTTCAGAAAAGGAATTTGTGGGCAAAACAGGTCATAGAATCAACGTGGGTTGCAAGGTTATGGGATCAGGGTTCAAACCAGGGACAACTATTCTAATGAATATTCTAAGGATCAAAGGAATTAATACAAGAGCTGAAAAATGTGCCAGGCACTCACTAATTGCTAGTTACTATTATTATAATACTATGTTCTCTTCCGCTGAGCTGTTTGCTGAGAGATCCCACAGAGAACATTCTGGCTTCATAAAAACATAGTAGAGTATACTGCTAACCCTGAATTTTGACTCCCTCAGTTCTCCCTTTGGGCTTTTGTTTTCTTTCTCTTTGTGCTCAAATCAGCTAATACTAACCAAGGCACATCTATTCAGAGGAGCGAGTATCCATGGAAAATGGGCCTGCAAATGCACACAATGTTTCTGGAAGGTAGCTTGTTAAGTGTGTTGAAGGCCCATTCTTTTATCCAATGACCTGATGTCTAGGAATCTATCCTAGTTATGTCCTGACAAATGCAGGATGATATATGAGTGAGGAGGTCTACCTCCTCATTGTTATCATACTTAGATGTTGGGAGCCATATAAATATCTAACAATATGGCCTAAATAACTGCAGCACATCCATGTGGGGGATATTTGTAGTTTTTCTTTTCTTTTTTGTGCCAGGTTTGAACCCAGAGGAGCTTAACCACTATGTCACATCCCCAGCCCTTTTTTATATTTTATTTAGAGACAAGGTCTCACTGAATTGCTTAGGACTTCACTAAATTGCTGAGGCTGGCTTTGAACTTGCAGTCTTCCTGCCTGAGCCTCCTGAGCTTCTGGAATTACAGGCGTGTGCCACCACACCTGGTCTTATTTGTAGTTTCTTGGTTATCCAGCCAAGAAGGGAGGAAACCCCAAACTAAGTGAGAGAGAAGATCCTGGTGGTTATGCTGTAGCTTTGGCCACTCAGAGGCTCCTTAGCTGGTTGGAGGCCAGGACTTTGGCTCTTGAAGGAGTGATGTAGAAATGCAAAGATTGTTCAGGGCATAACAGAGCTCCACAGTGCATCCTGAGCAGATTCTCCTGAAGGGTGCTTTAGGACAGCTGTGTTCCTGGTTGGAAATCCTTTCTTGATTCTAAGCTTGCTCAAAGCTGATCCTATGAACTGCCACTCCCATAAACTTCTTTTCTGCCTGTCGATGGAGTCAACTTCCATTATTCTGTAGTCAAGTACCCTCCATACTATCAACATTGTGTATCACTGATTCTAGGGTGAGAATTTTTTCATACTTGAACATCTCCGAAATCAGGATGTGTCTTATTGCTAGTCATTACTCCTGTGCATGTGTGAGAAAGTCGTAGGTGTTCATATTTTTACTACCACTAAGTTATACGCATTGCTGGTACTAAATGTCTAAATAAATCTAACAGAACTCTTTAGGTAACTACTAAATTAAGTGATAAGAAGGTCATAAGGAAGCATGTGTCATATTAGGTAGCGAGAGTTTTGTTTCTTAGTATTAAATAAATAATAACTGTGCATTGAATTTTAGATTTTTTTTTTTTTTTGGTGCTGAGAGTGAGCCCAGGATCTCATGCATTCTAGGTGAGCACTCTGCCACTGAGCTAAATCCCCAACTCCTTAGATTTGATGCAGTGTGGTACTCTCTGGCTAGTGATAATGATGAACTGATGCTCTCAATCTTTGTTGAAAACTATGACATGTGGAGTGATGGCTAAGGGGTGCCAGGTTTTCTATTTTCTAAATTTGATTCTTATGATGATTGCATGACTGTGTGAACATACTAAAAACCATTAAATTGTGCACATACCATACAATTTACCCATTTAAAGTACATGCTCCATGAGAGCCCTCTCTTGTTAGTGGAGAGTTTGGTATGTCTCTGGGGTACTGACATCTTGAGCTGATCTTGAAGCAGGAAGGAAGGCTGGGTGACGGAGCAAGCCATGCATCTCTCTCTCAGGGGCTCATGATGCAATCTCAGCCTGAATGGGGGTTGTCAGTACCACCTCCCTACATGCACCTCCCAACTTCCCAACAGACCCATCATCCTTCCCTTGAACCCTCCACTATGAGATTAAGAACTTCCTTCTTGATAAAAGCCAACCTACCAGGCCACTGACACCTCACTGCCCCCATATTCCCACCCTCTCTTCCTGTGATCTGCTTGTCATTCATCTTCCAACTCAAAAGTCCCCCTCTCAGTGAGCCTTTCCTAACTGCCCCATCAAAGTGACCTCTATCACTCTCTCTTCTCACTCTATTTCCTCACTTCATTATCATTATCTGGAATCACTTGTGTATTGTATTCTCCAATTGCTTATTGTCTCTTCCCTGCAGGAATGCTAGTTTAGGCTCCTTGTCTGTCTAGGTGATGGCTGCTTCCCCTGTCCTGCACAATTGAGAGTCAATGACAGCTAAATGCATGGTTTTGGCATCTCTACTGCCTCCTTCCCCACAGCTTATATAAATGTTCAAGTCTGTCCAAAACTATGAATGAATGAATTCATCCTTGGTCTCACAACTCAATCATTCTTTTCCTTTGTCTAGCCCAGAGCTGTCTATATATTCTATTTCCATATCACCACCTGTAACCACCATAGTCTGCCCCTGACTCCATGATTGTGCTCTGGTTAAGGACCCCAGGTGGTAAATGATATCTTGATCTTCCACCTAGGGCTTGCTCTTGAACTTATATATCTGACTGCTTCCTAAATGGTTACACCAAGGGATTAAGACAGGCTTTCCAAAGCCTGACACTAAAGATGATGAGTAGGTATTAACAGTGGTCTTTCAGGGATCCAAGCAGAAGCTACTTTCCGTGTTTGTCTGAATCCTAGCAAATTCACACCACAAGTCTGTGCATGTCGCTGTCTGTCTCCCCACTCCCCACTCCCCACAGCCAACCAGCCATATGAAGTTAACCCTCTTTCTGACTTTTGTGCAGCCTGTAAGCACAGGGCCTGGCACAGAGAAGGCACAAGTGCATGTTCATGGAACTGAACCAAAAAGCAGCAATGCTTTGCATTTCCTGCAGGTCCTCAGCTGACCTGTGGATAGGGCACCTACAGCACCAGGCACCCACCTCCCATGCACTAGCCCCGCTGGGGAGGTTACTGGTTTGAAATCAAAGTTAGAAGCAGCTTCAATTCAAAGGAGAACATGGCTAGCTGCAAAGGTATTTTATGTAAGAAAGAGGAAAAAATAACTCCCCCCCTCCTGGGGCCTGTGCCATAGTGCAGTTTTGGTGTCAGTTATTACCCAGATGTTCTCAACCTACATCTAAGCATGAGACACCATCACGGGACACTAATGGATTTTCTATTAAATATCAGCTACTTCAAGGAGGAAAAACTGGGGCAGGCAGAGTGCTGAAGAGCACCCAGGGGGCTGGTTATTGAGAACTGGCGGAGGCTCTGCAGAGGCCCTTCATCTTCAGAAGGCAGTCTTTTTTTTTGGGGGGGGGGATACGCTTCGCTTGTGAGGATTTGCGGGGAGCCCTAACTATGATCCACAACTCATAGTTAGGGCTCCCCCCCATTTTTTTTTTTTTTGCCAGAAAACCCACTCTAGCTGGCCTGGCAGCATGACAGATTCCACTTTAGCCAGCCCTGCTTCCTGGCCAGATCTGTATATCCACTGTACCCTGCTGGGGCTCTGAGTCTGTCCCCTTCTAACCCTGCAGGAATTAAGTGGTGTTTGGGACAGGACTTTGTTCTCTGACAGGCCATCTGGGATTGTTGCAGACATTACTAATTTTTATCAATTTTTCTAGATCTTCCCCCTCTTCCTGGACACATAAAAGACTATATTTCCCAGCATCCTTGAGGAGCACCAGTGTAACCAATTCTGGCCAATGAGTATTGATGGACCATGCAGTTCTAAGAGCCAAGGCACAATTTCCCATGCATGTTTCATCTTCCACAAGGAAACTTGAAGCTTCACACTGAGATGGAGGAACCTAAAAAAGCTTCACACTGAGATGGGGACATCAGCTACTCTGGAAAGTTGCCTGAACCCTTAGAGGACTTTGTGTGGGTAGAGCAAACTATAGTGCAAAGGTACCAAGATGCTAATTTTGTTTGTTAAAGCAGCAGAATTCACCCTGGGTATAGGAAGAAAACCACAACTTAAATAAAAATTTTTTTGTGGTGCTTGGGATGGAACCCATAGCCTCATGCATGCTAAGTACATGCTTTAATTATTGAGCTATACCACCAGCCCAGAGAGTCAAGATGGCAGAGGTTGAAGGGCCCAGGCAGGGTTCATGCCAGGGTACATGATAATGAAAAGACTCCTGGAGGTGGGGGGTCAGTGTAGAAGTAGGGAGGACTGGACCAAGCTTGAAGGCTGGAGAAGGCTTCTGTGTGTGTGTGTGTGTGTGTGTGTGTGTGTAAGGGCGAGGGAATGTGATACTTAGGGAGTGGAACTGGGAACCATTTTTGCAACAGTCAAGCTCTAACAGGATTTCCAGATTTCCTGGGCCCCCTAAACCTTCAGCCAGGCCATGCCAAGGGCAGGACTGAACAATTCCTCTTCCATGGAGAACAAATCCATGAACTCAGATGTTCCAGTAAATAAGCAGTAAGTAACTTGTTCCAGTAAGTAAGTTTGCAAGCTTGGCATCCAGGTGGGATCTAAGCTTCAGGTAGGGGTGGTAGTGGAATGTCCCAACTCCAGATTATTTCCTGGTCACACTTAAGTTCACTCTTTATTCTGCTGGAGCCTTAGCTAAACAAGGACCATTACTAAAAGTCCTGGAGAACAGCCATATGAATGTGGATGGCCTGAGGGTATTGCTGTACTGAGACCCTGCCGATCTGTCCTCCATTTCTCAGCCCTGGGTCTCTGAGACATGCCTCCCTCTCTCTTTTTTGGCCACTCCCTGTTTCCTGCAAGTAATTCAGGACTTGGGCTCCTTTTATGGCTTTGATCATTCCAGGTTCCCAACTCTCAGTCTTCAGAGTCACTCAAACTCCCCACCTGTGACCTGTCAGAGCCTATTGTGCTAAAGTCTGGCAGGAAATGCCTTTGGAAGGTTGGGGTGGGGGAGTCCTGCAGCCAACCAGCCATCCTGCCTGCTGTGCAAAGTCAGGGGGAGCTATTTTTAAAAACACCAACAATAAAAAGATCTTCTGCCACCCAAGTGTGAATGAAAGTCACAGATACAATGTTGAGCAACAGAAGCCGGCACTGAACAGTACCTGCTGAATAATTCCATTATATGAAGTTCACAAATAGCCAAGATTATAATGATGGCTGTGGAATAGCAGCTCCTCTGAGGGGAAGGAGAGCCAGGGAAAGGGTCAGGTGGGAGCCTTCTGGGTTGAAGGAATTATCCTACAGCCTGCATTCTATTATCTGATCTCAATTTTTGTACATTTTGATGAGGGGGGATTACAAGGGTCTGTAGATGTGTGAGATAGATATAGATAGATAGATATCTATATATGGCTCTTTACACCTACAGTACCTCAATAAAAAAAGATAAATGATTCCCATACAACAAGTGAACAAAGTTACAAAATTAGGTACAGACCCCTCAGTCTTGACCATCATTCTATTTATGGTAAATCTGCCTCTCTAAATTTCCTCGGCAAGCGCCCCCTCCCCGTACAGCGCCCCGCCCCCGCCCACATTTCTAGCACCGCCCCCTCCACGCCCATATTACTAGTCCCGCCCCCGCGCCCTACCTTGCGGCTGAACTCCTGGGCCTTGCGCCTTCGCTCCCGGTGCACGGCATCTGGGCGCTTGCGGCCTGCCAGGCGAAGCAGCTCACGGCCCAGTGCGAGGCCACGGCCACAACGCGGCGCCCGCAAAGCTGCGGACAGGGCTACCGGGCCGCCTTCGGGGCCGGGGAGCACACCAAGGCTGGGTGGCACACGAGGGCAGCGCCGAGCAAGGCGTACCAGGCGTTCACGGCTCAGACCGCCCACAGCCAGCCCCTCCACCTCCAGAATCTGGTCCCCGGGCCGCAGTCCCCCGGCGTGTGCACTACTTCCCTCAGCCACCTCCAGGACGAAGCACGGGCCAGAGCCACCTAGCCGGAAGCCGAAGTCCTCGGGCCAGCCCTGGTTGGTGGCCGGCATGGCAGCTGTGATGGTGTGATGGTGTGACTGGAGCAGAGAGAAAGAAGAGCATAGGGATTCTTTGTGGCCCTGTCTATGGGAACAGAACTGGAGTATCCTGGGCCTCCACTTTTCTCTGACTCCTCCCTCTGTCTCAGTTTTTCTCTCTGTCTGCGTGTTTCCCCTTCCCCATTCATTCGCCTGTCTGTGGCTGAGAAAATGGAGCCCCAGAGGAGCTCAGTTAGAGGGGGGAGGTAAAAAGGGCCATGGGGATGTCTGATGGATACAGACCAGGTCTCAGACCACACAGAGGCAGTGTGGTGGATGGAGGTTGGAGCAGCAGTAATTGGGGTGCATGGTCTTTAGGTAGAAGGGCAGAGAAGAGCCCGGCTGCTTGTCTCTGAACCCTCCAGGACACCAAGGGACAAGGTAGAGGGGGATCTTTGAAGACATCCACTCATTTCTCTATGTATCCCTTGCCCCTTGACTTTATAATTAAAACATCCCCCTCCCCTTTGGATGTAAGACAACTCTCCCTGAATGTCTTCATTTGAGTTCCTTGGTGTTTTGACCAAGGCCACACACTTTTCCAGGGGGCTGTCTGGCTTTACTGTCTGGCTTCCATGATACATCTAGTTTCCACGCCCCCTTTTCTTTATATATATATATATATATATATATATATATATATATATATATATATATATTTTTTTTTTTTCCTTAGTTGTTGATAGATCTTTATTTTATTTATTTATATGTGGTGCTGAGAATAGAACCCAGTGCCACAGTCCCAGCCCTCCATACCCCGTTTTCTCAGCAATCCTTCCAACTTCACCCTCTTATTACCTTTTTCATCTGCCAGATCCCCTTTCTGAGTCCTGTGTGAATCATACCCTTTCAAAAGGGAATTTTGGAGCAAGAACAAGCCCCAGGTGACCATTCATATCCCCACCCGCTGCCACAGGGCAGTGCCTTATAAACCTCTAGACCCAGGAAGTGGAGGGACCACTCCTTGAAACTGGGGGATCTCAACTCAAGGTCAAGCCCCTGGGGAATGGCAGAGCCAGCCTGTTCCTCCAGCCTCTCCCTAGCTCATTTTTGTCTGTGTATTGCCCACTGTGTACCACCTATGTTGAGAATGTCCACACAGACCTCCCACCACCTGTACTGTAGGCAATCCAGTAATTTGACTACCAACAAGCCCTCCCTCTCTCCTTGTCCAGGGCTTCTGAGGGAACAGGCAGTTATGTACTCTCCCTGGTAGCAGGAGCTGGCATTAACCAAGCCTGTTCAATCACCATATCCCAGCCTCGGTGCCCCAAGGAGAGCTCTCTACAGCCTTTTCAGACAAGACATGTTGGCCTTGGGAGAGAGACATTCTTTTTCTGGGGCCATTAGCTGCAAGGACATTGCAGGCTTGGGGTTGTTGGCCACATGTTGCCGCCTTATGAAGGATCCGTTCTTATAATATTTGTGAACTCCTGGATTCATTTGCTTGAAATTCACCCAATTTTCATTTGAAAAAAGGACTTGTTAGTGTTTCTGGCTCACAAACTTCTGCTTATTTTTTCCTCCTTTCTTTCTTTTAGCTGCTGGATTTCTGTTGCTTGCAACTGATAAGATAATGAGTAATAGAAATGTGTAAGAAAGAGAAATGAATAGGTATTAGTTGGAAGTGCTGTCTCCTTCCCTCATAACTTTTGGTGGTGCTGCTGGGATTTGTTTTTTGAGTTGGGAGGCTTCTTTTTTTTTTCCTGAGTACTGGGGTTTGAATCCAGGACTGCACATGCTACCATGTGTAGGCCACTCTCTTCACCATTTTTATTTTTTATTTAGAGACAGGGTCTTGCTGTTCTGGGGCTGGCCTGGAACTTGCTGTCCTCATGCCTCAGCCTCCTGAGTATCTGGAATTACAGGCATAGCATCCTGCTGACATGCTCCTTGACCTCCCAGAGAAAGGATGGTGTGGCTGATTTGAGATCTGTGGGTTCTTGACTCGAGACAGGCTCTAGGGAGGTGGTGTCTGTCCTCCAAAACATGTATTGCATGGGCTGGTAACGTATCCTGAGAACGTAGACACAGCCCGACAAGGAAGGACTGTTCTGGATGGAATAGTCTGTGTATTTCTGTCTGTTTAGGGTGGAGATTCCTTATAGGATTCCATGGAGGGCCTCTGGCATTTTAGGTAGTGCATGGGGTGAAGGCTTATTGTTCTGGTCAGTGTCTGAGGGCTCCCTGATGCTGGGACCTTTGAAGGCTTTGAGGGACCTTTGAAACCTGAGCTTCAATGCTATGGTTTCAGATGCCCCTCAGCCCTCTGCAGATGCTTGGAGACATGCCTATTGGAGTCATCTTCTCAGTCTTCCCTCTCCGAGGAAGCAGCCTTCCCCAGAAGGCCTGGGGAACTTCTGGGAAGCTGGTGCTTAGGGAATGGAAGCCCAGGTTTCCAAAAGCATGATTAACTGGGAGAAAATGTCCCTCAGTCACATGCAGAGAGAGTCTGTGCTACCTGGCCATCAGTGGGCATGATGTAAGAACTCACACTGGGGTGGCATCCTGAGGCTGGTAGGATCAGCCCTAAACTGCCAGGCTATGGTGCTGGCCACTAGGTATGGAGCCTTGGGGAAACTCCTCTATCAATTGTTGTCAATGCACTGGACTCCTGGAGACCACTAGGCACAGGACAGGTGGAGGCATCACCATATCTTGGAGGGGCCTGAGGTCAGTTTTTTTTTTACCATGAGAGAAGCAGAGTCCTGCAGGAATCATACCCTTCCAGAAACTAGAATGATGGAGTAGAAAGAGGACCCAGAAACCACTTAGATCCTGGAGGTGAGGGGTTTATAAGCATCCCAGAAAGTGGAGAGTCTGTACCTTGAGTTAGGAAGGTCCCAACCCAAGGTCACCCCTCTGGGAAATGGCAGAGCTTGTCCCTCCCTCCAAAGTTCTTGCTACAATGCCCCCCTCCCATCTCAGACAAAGCTTCAAACCTTTCCAGAGGGCTTAATAAAGAGGGGCTGGCTGGAAACTGAATTTAGGGCCAGGTCCCACACTCCCTACCACTCCACAAGCACAGCTATTCTGACCAGCACAGCCATGCTGGGTGGCAGAGCTTCCTGTCAGAGTCCAGAGCAGGCAACTCCTAACACCTCTGCACCCAGCCTGAGGAGCCCACCAGGCCAAGGAGGCTACCAGCACTCAGACACCCCAAGGCTTCTGAACTAAGTCAAGCCCTCCAGTGTGTTCCCAGTCCTGCAGACTGATTTAAGCCTTCTCTTCCACCTACCCACCCAGAGTCCCCTGTCTGGGCCATTCTCCTTTCCTGAACCCCCTGGATGCAGGAATCCAGGCTCCTGATCAGGCGGACTGGGCTGTATCAGGGCATGAGTGGGAGGCATCTTGGAGGACCCCAACCCAGATTACTGGGTGCCACACCTGCTTCCCCCATGTACGCTCACCTTCCAAGCTGATGACTGCAGTGGTCACGGAGGACAAAGCACAGTGCTCACAGAACACCCAGGGACGCTCGCTTGCTGCTGGCTCTGCTGCTCAGAGCTTTGGCATCTGTTACTGATGCACCCGAGGGGACAGCTGGAGTTTCTAAGGCAAAGTGATCCTCTGAGTAACCTGAGAAGGCCCCCCGTTACCAGGTAGACCAGCAGGACGGCTGGACAGCTTGGCCAGAACACAGGTTGGCCAATCCCTGTTGCACGGTCCTGGGGGACGAGCAACATTCCTCAGGCATAAGAGAAGACTTGCTGAGGTGGGCCTGGGGCTTAACTGCCCACGAAGTCATGGGGATTGGCAGATAGAGCAGGAGGATTAGATTGGGTTGTTTTGAGAGGGCAATATGAGTTGGTTCAGCAGGATCAGTGATGGTGAAGGGGACTAATGAGACCCAGTAGGAAATGGAATCCAGTTCCCCATGGAGAATGTCTCAGTGGGAGCCACACAGACTGTTTATTGGCAGGAGGAGAGACCAGGCCAGAAAAAAATAGTTTGGGTTGGGGAAAAAAGTGTTGACTTAAGTAACTGGAAATGAGTGGAGTCCATAACCTGAAGGCAAAAGAAACTGCACATAGCACTCTAGTCTAGTCAGTATGGTTGTTTCCCATGGAGGTACAGGTTCATGATGCTGAACCACACCACACATACAGACTGGAACTGAACAATGCAGTAAGTGGATGGTGGGTGCCGGGTTCCTCTGTTGAAGTGGAAGGTTACAGACCAGCTAAGGAGGGAAAGCTGGAATGATCCATTTGGTACTGGATGAGAATTAGGGCCATCAATGCTAACTCAGGTTTAACTCACTATATACAGATGGATGCATCTAGAAAGCTTTGTAGATGTAAATACATAGACTGATACATGCACATGTACTTATATGTTCTGTCAGCTGAGAGGACCTAGAAACAAAGACTCCAGTAGTAACCAGCACATCCAGTGCCCAGACCTTGATTTCTAGTATCAGTGTCCAATTAAAGGGGTCCTGGCTTCCTGAAGAAATGGCTGATTATGGAAGTGGGGAACAGGATCTTCTGAGACTAGAGAGTAAGAAGTGTTAAACGCACACAGAGACTAGACTTGTCAGAGGGACAGGGCCACCTGAAATTGTTCTTGATAGCTAAAGCTGGAACAATTTGAGCAACAAAATAAATAGCATAGGCCAGGCGTGGTGGCACATGCCTATAATCCCAGTGACTTGGGGGGCTGAGGCAGGAGGAGCACGATTTCAAGGCCAGCCTCAGCAGGTTAGTGAGACCCTCAGCAACTCAGAGAGACCCTGCCTCAGAATAAAAAGGAGCTGGGGATGTAGTTCAGTGGTAAAGCACCCTTGGGTTCAATCCCCAGTACCAAAATAAATAAATAAATAAATAACATAGCATAGTCATCTCTGGGTACTGATGGGGGGTTGGTAGCAGGACCCCTTCGATACAAAACCCCGCAAATCCTCAAGTCCTTTATATAACATGGTATAATATTTGCATATAACCTGTTCACATAAACCCACATACTTTAAA